TCGCTGGAGAAGGATGTCATGCTGGGTAAGGTGGAGGGTCAGAGAAAAAGAGGAAGACCCCCAACGAGATGGATCAGCCAGGTGACATCATTGATGGTGTCAAGTGTGGCGGCGGTAGTGAGGTTGGCCCAGGATCGGACATTGTTTCCTTCTGTTGTGCATGGGGTCGCTATGAGTCAGTTCTGACTCGACGGCACCTGACAACAACAACAACCCAGTCATGATGTGACAGTCTCAAAGACCAGGACTAGAAGGGCCATGCTAAAGAATTCACTGCACCGCTGAGCCCACACTGCAGCTGAAATATGATTTGAGACAGTCACATTGGAAACTTGAAGTGAAGTTGAAGATGCGCTCTGTGTGGCTGATTGCCAGAAATTCTAATTCTATACAAATGTCACATGTGCACAAGGAGACTTAATAGCAGGAACTGGGAGCCACTAAAGTGTATCAGGAAGGAATGGGAAAATAAGTTGGAGGAAGTTGCTGTACTGGATTACCTGCAAGGTTTATGTGCACCACCAACACAGATAAACCTCAGAGATAAATTAGGGAGTAGAAGCAGCAACTTGCAGACAGCTGAGTGTAGTCTGACACTCCTGATAATGTGTTGGGAACCTTCAGCTGTGTGTTGTTGGTAGCTGAATACGGGTTTTCAGACCAACTCCAGGGGTTGCCTGTGGGGAGAGATCATGGACATTGGAGCCAGGAGACTCCCACTTTTCTCCACAAGATGTAATTTATCATAAAGCATATGACATGGCAATGAAACGGTATACGATAGGATGAATGTAAAGCTACTGATCTCCCATGTAAATAAACTTAGCACATAATTCACAATAAAACATTTAAAAAAAAGCATATGACAAAGTGTAGGTAGCTTCCCTTTTGGGTGGTGCACACGTGATTGTTACTTTATCCTTCTGCCCTTTTCAAAAACTAGACAGAGAAGTGGTGTTTGCTGCCCTCACACCTGGGCTCTCCAGGACAGTCAGGCTTAGGGACCGTAACTTCAGCAGCCCAGGCTGAAGAGCCCGGAGCTCTCTACTGTGTCTCTCCTACTCACCTTTGTCCTCCTCCTCCCCTGCATGGAGCAACCCTTTCCAGTCACACTGAAAATCTAGCGCTTAGTCATCTTTCAAGGCCTGGCCCAGCTCAGCAGCTGTCTCCTGAAAGTCTCTGGAGGACCCTGGGCCACCTGATGAGTGTGTGTGTGTGTGTGTGTGTGTACCCAGGGGATCTCGGGACACAGCCATGCCTGCCTTGGCCCCAGCATTTGTTTACATGTGTGGGTGTGTGTGCATGTGTTCACATGTGTGAGTGCACTGTGAACAAGTGTCCATATTTGTACATGTGGAGCCCAGGTGTGGTGCTGTGGGTTAATGTGCTGCACTGCAAAGTTGATCTGAACCACAAGGTCGGTGGTTCGAGCTCACCAGCCACCCCTTGGAAACCCTATAGAGGGTCGCTGTGGGTTGGAACCAACTCTGTGGTGCTTCACAACAATATGTACATGTATGTGCTTGCATGTGCCCACGTGTGTGTAAGATGTGCCCATGTGCATGTGTGTCCACATGTCGGCGTGTACATGTATCTACAGGTGTGTGTGCCCTCGTGTGTGTTCACATGTATGTACATGTGTGTGCTCGTGTCTGTGCACACATACAAGAGGGCTTTGAAAGTTCATGGAAAAATGATCTTTTAATTCCATTTTTCCACAAACTTTTTGACCACATGCATATGTGTGCATGCACGTGCTTGTGTATCAGTGAAGGCAGAGAGGAGAGAGGTTAGCTTGTGCCCTGGTCTCTCCACAGATCCTGACTGGAGAGGACTGGAATGCAGTGATGTACCATGGGATTGAATCACAAGGTGGAGTTAGTAAAGGCATGTTCTCATCCTTCTACTTCATTGTCCTGACGCTGTTCGGAAACTGTATCCTTTCATGTGTTGGGTTGGGGCACATGGTGTCACGTGTGACGTGCTTTCTGGAATGCTGCTGTACACAGGGCGAGTCCTAGAAACTACAGTTCTTCCAGGCCAACATGGTTTCAGACAGGAGGCCACGGGGAGCTGAGCTGGGCGCCGCGGGCCACACTCCTGGGACCACTCGGGCAGTGAGGTTTTCTTTCCTTTACTGTCACTGAGTAATTAATTACGCGCCAGTAATTAGTTACATTTTTAGCTCTGGGCTTTTAAACCCCTTCCTTGCTGACAGTGTGGTACCTGCAGGGAAATAGAGGTTTTCTGTGGGAGTGATGGGCCCAGCGTGAGACATCTCCTTCAGAGGGGTTAACTGTGGGCAGGCTCCCCGGGAGGAGGGGCGCTCCCTGTGAGGGGTGGGCTCTCTGTGAGAGAAGCGCTCTGTGAGCGGGGGCTCTCCCTGTGATGAGGGGGCCTCTTCCTGTGAGGCAGGCTCCCGTGAGGAGGGGGCTCCTGTATATTGAGAAGAGCTGGGTCCAGGGGAGTCAAACCTCTGAAGGGTGGAGGGAAGATAAAGGAGGTCCCTGGAGCTCAGACGGGGGTCGTTACAGCACACTGGCCCACTGGGTCTCACTCCCTGGATTGGGCCTGAGAGCGAGCATTAACAAACCTCCCGGGAGCCCGATCCCAGACCCACCTTGAGAGCCAAGTGGGAGAGCTTCCTGTGAGAAGGAGACTGTGCTTGTCACCCGGACCTCGTTCCCAGCACCTCGGGCCCCCCATCTGTCCGACCACCTGACACTTAGACTATTTCTTTCAGTTTCTGTCTATGTGTGGGAACCTCCCCTGGGTGGGGCCTCATCATTCATCCTCCTGCTCCCCCCTCGTAACCATGAACACCCCTGCTGCCCTTATGGTCCCTAGGAGGGGAGAGCCAGGGGCCTGAGGGACCATCTTGCCTTGGAGTAGGAGGCTGGGCTGCGGCTGGTATGTGAGGGAACAGGCAGGAGGGGCTGTTGGATGGCAGGAGGCCGTGGCAGGGTCCCTCAGACAGGGACCAGAAGCTGATGTGACCTGTTGCTCAGCTGGTCCTGAGGGATGTGCCCTTCTCCTCACCTCTGAGGGTGTGTCTGTGAGTCCATCCAGGGACAGCCAGAGATGCATCCTCACACGGAAGCTGCCTCAATAGGGAGAGTCGCCTGAGCTGCCGAGGGCTGAGTCTACAGGCCATGGGGACAGACACATGCAGTGTCGGGACATTTTTGGTGGTTACAACCTGGTAGATAGAGGTCAGGACCACTGCCCAACACCCTGCAATGCTGGGGGCGGTCCGTGCAGCAGAGAGATTCAGCCCAGCATCATATGCCTGCAGAGCGAGGGTCCTGTTGCGGGGAGTGTGTGTGCGGGGGGGGGGGGGGGGGGGGGGGGGGGGGGGGGGGGGGGGGGGGGGGGGGGGAGCTGAGTGTGGTCACAGCTGGGGGAACTGACAGAGGACATCCGGGGCGCCTAACTCAGGATCCTTCCTGAGCTTGGGTGCATCCCAGGAAGGGCCAGTGGTAGGCTGTATGTACTGGTGTCCACCAGGTTACTGAGCAGCTTCCATGACTCAACCCCACACCTGAGTGAGTCCCAGGGGACAGGATGCCAATTCTTCACCCTGGAAGGGGAAAAACTGCTGCTGCCAGCGTCTTTGACCTCCGTCCAGGGTGCTTAGCCCATGGGACCTGGAGCTGATGAAGCAGGGGCTACGGGAAGTGGATGAGTTCTGGGAGGGCTCTTGTGAACAGTGGTGAGGGACCGGTGCAAGCAGAGCGAAGGAAGGTCTGGGAACAGGGGTGACCAGAGGCCAGGAGGTGGGCAAACTGTCTGAGGGTACCAGCAGAGGAGACCTGAGCTCGTGGGGACCCAGCGATGGAGGCCACCTTTCCCATGGAAAAGCAGTGGCTTGGCTGAGTGGACCGAGATGTTCTCTTCCTTAGCTGGAGCCATCCAGACACCCTCCTCAACGTCTTCTTGGCTATTGCAGTGGACAACCTGGCCAATGCCCAGGAGCTGACCAAGGTATATTGGGAGGAAAGCAGCTGCCATCCTTGGGGGTGGGGCCAGTCCACAGGGTAGGTGGAGCTGCAGGACCAGGACCAGGCGGAGGCCTCAGGGGACCGCTGTCCAGGGGGCTTCCTTAACGTCCGGCACGTCGGAGGTTAGGATGCCATTTGGGTGTAGGGAACGTAGCCCAGGAAGATCGGAGAGACCCCTTAGGCAGACTCCCAGGAAGTCCCTTGCTGGAAAGAGTGATCTGAGCAGGCAGGATGCAATGGAAACCCCAGAGGCCGGCAGGTGATGCAGCTGGGTGGGAGCGAGTCCCTGCGGCCACAAGACTCACCTGGCCTCCGGAGTGTGGGTCTGTGAAAAGAACAAAATGAGAGGAATGGACAGGTGAACTCTAGGAAGCTCCACCTCTAAAGAGCAGGGAGGGACACCAGTGTGAGTTCCCAGGCTGGAAGGGCCCGTGAGCTGTCTGGGCTGTAGGTGACTGGGTCTCCCTGATGTGACCTGGTGGGGTCTTGGGGCAGCCACTGTCTCCACCTCCCGGTGCCTGTGCCCCATTCTGCTCAGCGGCCACCCATCACAAGTCTCATCCCCCAGCCGGGGCGGGGGGGTGTCTGTGGCTACACGATCTTCTCTGATGTCCCTCCAGAGGACACGGCCACCTCACAGCCCTAAACACAGTGCAGTCAGGCCGCTGGCAGCATCTGCTAAGAGCTGGTGGCTCTGTGTGATCTTTGTCCAGCTTGGAGGGCAGCTCTGAGCTGGTTTTTCACTTGCCCAGGTCAGCCCCGATGGGCTGTTGAAGAAAGTTGCTGCCCACGCCGCAAACTTCCTGTGTGTCTGTGTGCACACCCATGTACTGCCTCTGCATGCTCTCTTAACCCTGCACAGAACCAAACAGTTGTCTGCGTGTGTGTGTCCCATCACATTCACCTAGTCCAAGCCTCGCAGCCCTTCATGATCTGGGGCTGGGCAGAAGGGAATTCAGGCACCCTTAAAGCCGTTAGAAACACAGGTGTGGCGTGACCCAGCTGGGAGGAGCGGTCCAGGTAGAGGCACAGCCCAGGTGCGAGCCTATGCCTGGTGCGTCCCCTTTGCTGAAGCTGCCGGGCAGATGGAGACATCCACAATGCTTTTAGAGAGCAGGTGGAAGAAAGTGATAGTGAGGCTGAGGCTTCAGGACAGGCAAGAGGTTAGGTACCTGGGTACCTGGGTACCTGGGACGGGAGCTGGGGGAGGTAGGTTGGGCAGAAGCAGGGCTTGAGGCTTTCCCAGAGAGCAGCAGCAGCGAAGGCCAGGAGGCTAAGGGAGCTTTGTGCGGGCTGGGGCCCTGTAGGCTGTGTGTAGATGGTTGTTGGCAGTCTGTATGAGCCCAGAAACTGGCCTCACCAGAGGGAAGATACCGAGGCCAGGCCCAGGAGAAGAGACCAGGGTGTTGGGGTAACTGGAGGTTTCTGTGCTTCCACAGGATGAGGAGGAGATGGAAGAAGCCGCCAATCAGAAGCTTGCGCTACAAAAGGCTAAAGAAGTGGCTGAAGTCAGCCCCATGTCTGCGGCGAACATCTCCATTGCAGCGTAAGGCGCTTGGGAGCATGGGAGCGTGGGCTGGAGTTTCCCAGGGCACTCCTTCCAGAGACTTCTTTAGAGGGCCCCTTGGCTGACCCCCAACTGTCTATGTGCAAGGCCCACCTTGCCCGCCTGTGCTGGGCAGCGTCGAGTTCATCCTGGGCACTCCGTTCCCAGGACAAGTGTCTGGCAGGGCATGCCTGGAGGGTCTTTTCTCCTGGCATTGGGTTAAGGTGAATAGGAGCCCAACACTGTCATAGTGCGTGTTGCCCAAGCTCTTCTGGATCTTTTAGACTGAGGGACTCTCAGTGGTGCCTTAGTGATTCCAGAAGCTTCCACAAAGGTCTCGCCAGAGTTTGTTATTGAGACCGAGACTGAAGGACAGTGAAGGGGTGCTCTGTGATGGGAAGAGATGCACGCAGGGCGAGGACTTCTGTGGGGGGCTAAGAGCTAAAGACCACAGTAGGATGGGGGCAACGGGAGATGTGGAGGAGGCAGAAAAGTCTGGGTGGACCATGGAGAGACAGGGACATCCTGACCCTGCTCGAGTATGGGCTCTGGGCCAGGCTGAGTCCAGCCCCACAGGAGTGGGCTCCTCTTGGAGGTTCTCTGGGCACTGGGGGCTTTCTTCCTACTGTCACACACTGCTCACCGCTGGTCTGGTCTGTGCCTCCGGCTCTGCAGGGGATCCTGGTACCAGGAACGACAATCAGCACATCTGTGGGCGAGGGTTGTGACAGGAACACGTGTGTGTGTGCTCCTGATGTGGATACGTTGCTGGGCACCTGTGGTTTATGTGCACCCACTATCCGTGTTGGGGCGGAGAGTGCATAAGGGTATATGAAGGTGTGAGCATGCAAGTGTGCATGTGTGTGTGAGTATGTGAATGTATGTGTGTACATGCGTGGGACTATGAGAATATGTACGAGTGTGTGAGTGTGAGCATATGCATGTGGGTGAGTGTAAATGTGTACACGTGGGGGTCGTATGTGCACAATTCAAGAGTGCATGTGTGAGTGTGTACATATACGAGTGTGTCCACCTGAGTAGGTGAGCCTGTGCATGTCCCTGTGAGTGTGTGAATGCATTTGTGTCTGTGTGAGCTTGTGTGAGCGTGTGCATGCCTGCACATGTCCGTGTGAGCCTGTGCATGTCCGTGTGAGCATATGTGAGCATGTGAGTGCCTGTGTGTGTCTGTGAGGGTGTGTGCATGTCTTTGTGGGTGTGTGCACGCCTGTGCATGTCTGTGGGAACTTGTGAATGCCTGTGTGTTACCATGTGAATTTGTGTGAGTGTGTGCATGCATGTGTGTGTCTGTGTGAGCCTGTGTGTGTGCATGCATGTGTGTGTCTGTGAGCATGTGTGGGCATGTGCATGCCTATGTGTGTCTGTGTGAGTTGTGTGCATGCATTTGTGTGTCCATGTGAGGCTGTGTGTGCATACCTATGTGAGCATGTGCATGCATGTGCATGGTCATGTGAGCCTATGTGCATGCATATGTGTGTCTGTGTGAGCTTGTACATGTGTGTGTCCATATGAGCCTGTGTGAGTGGTGTGCATGCCTATGCATGTCTGTGTAAGCCTTTGTGAGCATGTGCATGCCTATGTGTGTCTGTGTGAGCGTGTGCATGCCTGTGCATATCTGTGTGTGTGCATCATGTGCATGTCCATGTGAGCCAGTGTGAGTATGTGCATGCCTGTGTCTGTGTGTGTCTTTGTGAGCATGTGCATGTCTGTGTGTGTGCATCCCTGTGCATGTCTGTGTGTGTCTGTGTGAGCATGTGCATGCCTGTGTCCGTGTGTGTCTGTGTGAGCATGTGCATGTCTGTGTGTGTCTGTGTGAGCATGTGTGAACGTGGGTGTGTGTAGTCATCTTTTTCCTGCCTGTGCATTGCCAGGAGAGGCCTGTCTCCTGGGGAGGTTTGCAGAGGGTCATGCCCTGTCTCTAAACCAGGCGGGAAACGGGGCTGGCCACTGGGATGAGGATGCTAGTAGAGGACCTGGAGAGAGCTGCTGGTAACTGGTTAGTTGGTTAATGGCTTGGACAGCTGTTATTTGGTCGCCAGTTAGTCGTTTACGTTCCTTGGCTGTGCCCAGGTTGCTGCTGACTGGTGATGTGCCTTCAGGCCCCTGTCTCTGAAGCAGCCTGGCCGGTTGACACCTGCTGTTGACGCTTGGTCTGTGCGGCTCACATGAGCTCTGGGTTTCTCTGGCATTGACCGTCTCTGCTGCTGATCTGCAGGGTGGGCGTGGGAAGCTGCTTTTGTCAGCCAGAGCTTCCAAGAGGAGGCTAGGGGCCCCCATGCATCCAGAGCCTTTCCTCATGCCCTGTCCTATCTGAGTGTCTGTTGCCTGGGAGCTGGTCATTTGGCGAGTCCACTTTCACACCCTTCACACCTATCCTCTGGACCCTGAGAGGCCCAGGCCTGACCTCCGGCAGTGGCCTATCTGAATCGGTACTCTTGGCAGGATGTCCTTCACTTCTGAGACTGGCCTGCCCCTGTGTTGGTTCTTACACTGGAAAAGGTGTCCCCACAGTGGGCTTCACGTGGGGCTCTAGCTCTTCCGGTTTCCGCCTCACACAGGTCAGGGTAGCCAATTTGGGGTAGTCTGGGTGTGTCCTGGGATCGGCCCCTGGGGCCCTGCTCTGCTCACGCCTTGCGTGGGCTGGCTGGAGGTCTCCCCAGCACTGCCTGGGATGCGACTTTGAGCCTTCGTTTTCAGCCCAATGTGGCAGATATTTTAATTCGACCGGAGGTACTGTGGCAACCAGGTCTGCAGGTGATGGTGTGAGGTGGGCCATTTCCCAAATTTGATGGTGGTTATGTGCCGTGGAGTTGGTTCCGACTCATAGCGACCCTGAACAGTGTTTCCGAGGCTGTAAATCTTTACAGGAGCAGAAAGCCTCATCTTTCTCGTGTGGAACAGCTGGTAGTTTCGAACTGCTGACCTAGAGGTTCACAGCCCTATTCGTAACTACTACCGTACCCCAGGTATTGGGGGCAGGGTGGGACCCATGTCCCAGGCATATGTGATCGGGGTGGGCCCTGTATACCAGGCATGTGGGGCAGGGCGGGGCCGTGTCCCAGGTGGGCAGGTGGGGTGCTGAGTCTCTCCATGCTGTAGTCTATTGGACTGGAACCCCCAGACCAGGAATGGCTGCTCAGCCGACATCTGTCTGTTTGCCCTTCTGGTGAGAGGTGCTTGTTGGGAAGACAGTGTGGCTCCTCAGGGATCTGGGCAGCAGGGCAAGGACGCATGTCAGGTGAGGAAATCCTAGCTTCTCAGCAGAGGCCAGGAGAGGGGTCACCTCGGTGCCAGGGATCAGCGGTCACACCCTGCAGGAGGCAGGCCCGGAGCTCTGTGAGTGCGTGCATACATATACACACCACCACACACTTGCCCTTGGGCCACACTTGTGCCTACACTTGGAGCTGCAGGCATGCAGGCGTGTGTGGTGGGAGAATCGCCCACTTCCCAGCCGTTTGCAGCTCCACTTGCTCACCTCCGTCTCCCTTTCTGCGTAGGCGGTAGGAAAGGTGGCTGCCTTTTCCTCTCGTCGTCACTTTTGCTAGAGGACTCGATGGTGGACTTCCGGCAGGACGCACACAGACGTCCAAGGCACCTGCGCCGGCCCGCTCATGTCTCAGCACTCTCTCGTTTCTCACATTTGTTTTATTTTGTTTCTTGCATGTGCAGTTTTGTAAAGCAAACTCGAGGTACTGTATCTCGCAGCTCATCCGTCTCCAGCGTAAACTCACCGTGAGTCGCTCTGTTACGATATTCCACCCATAGCTTCATGATAACTACACACCAACACCCTCCACTCCTAACTGCTTGACCCTCAAGTCATCGCTTCATGGGCAACTCCCTGTGGCCTCAGGTGGCTGTGATTCAGGCCTCTGGTTTCTGTGTGTGTCTGTGATCTGTCTTTGTGCCTGGTTCTGTGCTCTAGGTCTTCAGCACAACCACTTCTCCTGAGCTCCAGAGGCACTGCTTGCACGGGGCTTCAGGGAGCAGGTGGTGGCATTTGCTGACTCAGAGGCTGTCTGCTACCCCTGGGCCATTCTGCTCAGGGGATCTGCACTGTGGGCAGGAGGCAGGCTTTAGACTGGTCAAAGCCCACGACAGACATGCAAACCCAGGGCTTCTTCCAAGGTGAGCCCTGCCCTGCAGGGGCCCGGGAGGTCGGGCACAGTCAGACCCCTGGGCAAGGGTACCTACTTGTCTGGGTGAGGTTGGCAGGGCCTCTTGCGCCTTCTTGGCAGCATGCTGATGGGGTGGCGTACATGGTGGAGTGAGGTGGATGCGGGTGCTCTTGGTGGTCTCAACAGTGGGAGTGAGACTCCAGGACAGAGCTGCCTAGACCCTTGAGCTGCCCTGCACCTGGGGCCAGCGCCCTGGGGCCTGAGGAGCAATCCTCTGTGTAAAGACCACTGACGGTCAGAGAACCAGAGGCCAGGCTGGAGTGGCCCTTTCTGCTGTTGGCTGGCTCAGTGGCCACAGAGAGTGTGAGACAATGTGGCGACATGAGCTGAGACCCAGGCCTCCATGCCAGACAGACAGACGGACAAGGACAGAGGCAGCTCACACACAGCTGTGGGCAGACACTAACCGGGACCTGGGAACAGGGTGTGGAGGGACACAACGTGGGGCGGGAAGTAGGGGGGACAGGGCTGCAGGCATGGTGTAGAAGGACCCTGACAGGGAGCAGAGGAACTGGACAGAGTAGATGGAGATGCAGGGACAGGGGTGTGGAGACAGGATACTGAGGACCAGATAGGAGCAGCAACGTGGAGGACCAGCCACCTTGACCATTTAGTGTGATGGCCCATGAGTCTTGCTCCTGGGGAGGACAGAAGTACCCTCCTTGCTCAGTGGGCGGTTGGACTCTTGTGAGGTCCCTGCAAGAAGGAGGGGATAGTACCATGCACAAATGTCCACCACCCACACGCAGGCCCCAGCCCCGGCCGTCTGCACCGCCTACTGCAGGCATCCACCACCCACACGCAGACCCCAGCCCCGGCCGTCTGCACCGCCCACCGCAGACTGTCAGGTACACAGGACCCAAGGCTGTGAGCACTGCTGGTCCTCAGGCCTCCCCGCCCGTAGCTGGCATCTTTGCATGGCTCCGAGTTAAGTCCTCTGTTGGTCCTGGCAGGGCAGGTGCCAGTCACAGGGTGTCCTGTCATTGAGAACAGTGTGGCCTCGAGTGTCTGAGGAGGTGAGGGACGCACTCCCACGTTCTCTGCTCACTGTTGACTGGTGGTTGCTGCTTGAGTCCTTGTCCTTGTCGGTAGTGGGTGCAAACTTCAGCCCTGCCCACCCGACACCAGCCTGTCCAGCTACTGAGGACCAGCCAGGGAGCTCTGTCCTTCCTGTCACATGTCTGACTCTGGCCCCATCACTGCCTGGGGCTCTGAGGTTCCTGAGTTGTCGAGGGCTGAGGCCTGGGACCTAGTGCGTCTGCTGTGTGTGACCCGCAGGCATTACTGCCACACTGGGGGCAGGGATTCTCGGGACAGGCTGAGTCTGGTCTCCACAGGGCTGTGGTGTGGCCGAGGTGGGTGATGGTCGGGCTGCCTGCCTGGGCATCAGCAAGGAGCGGCAGGCACACTCGGTGCTGCAAGCAGGAGCAGGGAGCTTGATGGTCCAGCTTGATGGCTGGCTCCTGACCTGTACTGGGAGCTGTTCCAGCCTGTGTTAGTCAGCCGGCGACTGTCCACTCCACGCCGGGGCCCACCGCCCTCAGATCCCTCACAGCCCTCGTGCCTCGTTGGTCTTCCCTCTGTGCCTGAGAAGGGGTCTCCAGGGTTCCCTGCTCCCCCAGCCCTCACTCTGCCATCCCTCCATCGCTGTATGTCCATCTGTGGCTGTTCCTCTGCGAGGCAGACAGGTGGGGAGCAATCAGACAGGGCTGGGTGCTCACCTCTGCCTCTCCTCCCAGCAGGCAGCAGAACTCGGCCAAGGCCCGGTCTGTGTGGGAGCAGCGGGCCAGCCAGCTGCGGTTGCAGAACCTGCGGGCCAGCTGTGAGGCCCTGTACAGTGAAATGGATCCCGAGGAGCGGCTGCGCTTTGCCAACACGTTCCACCTGCGGCCGGACATGAAGACCCACCTGGACCGGCCCCTGGTGGTCGAGCCCGGCCGGGAGGGCCCAAGGGAGGGCCCTGAACCTCCCCGACGGCACCACCGCCACCGTGACAAAGACAAGGCCCCAGCGCCCACAGCAGCCCCCACAGCAGCGGGCGCCGAGCAGGACAGGCCGGAGGCCCCCAAGACTGAGAACGGGGACCCAGGGACCCGGGAGGAACAACCCCGGCCGCACCGCAGCCGCAGCAAGGAGCCCACGGCCCCCCGGGACAGTCGCGGTGAGCGCCCCCGCGGCTCAGGCCCTGAGGGCAGCCGACGCCACCATCGGCGAGGGTCCCTGGAGGAGGCGGCTGAGAAGGAACCCCGGCGGCACCACACCCACCGGCATGGACCTGACCAGACCCGGGAGGGCGCAGGAGCCAAGGGTGAGCGGCGGGCGCGGCACCGCGGAGGGCCCCGGGCTGGCCCCAGAGAAGCCGAGAGCACAGAGGGGCCACCTCGGCGACACCGGGCCCGGCACAAGGTGCTGTCCAAACATGGCTCCCTGGAGAAAGAGGGTGAGGACGCTGACCGGGACAAGGAGCTCCGGAACCACCAGCCCAAGTGAGTGCTGGAGCAGTGCAGGCCCGGGGCTGGTGTGTGAGGGTCTGCGTTTGAAGGGTCCCCGAGGACAGAGGCTAGCATTTGTGGGGTGACTTGGGAAAGGTGGGAGATGCAGGAGGGAGATGGGAGCCCAGTGAGGCTGAGGGCTGGGCAGCGAGGTGACCGGGACCCAGGCCATCCTGCCTGCTCCGCTCCTCGGGGTGAGAGCCTTGGGTCACGGGGTCCCTGCAGCCGAGAACCTCCATTTTCATATGTCACACACGGCTGAGGGGACCCAACCTGCTCCGGCTCTTTTCTTTCTGCAAGTGCTTCTGTTCTACACAAACTGGGATGCCAGCCTTGTCAGGCATTCTGTTGGGCATATCCCTGCCTTCCTGACCCGAAGGTAGAACGCACAGGGCTTTGCTGGACTTGTGTGGGAGCTATAGAATGTGGCTTTGCAGACGTAATATGGGCCCATGTCAAGTGTCTGTGTGCTTCTTGGTTGCAGGGAGCTATGCTATGATGTGGAGGTCAGTGGTCCACCAGACACGGGCCCTGTACACACGCTGCCTAGCACCTGTCTCCAGAAGGTGATGGAGCAGCCAGAGGATGCGGACAATCAGAGGAATGTTACTCGGATGGGCAGTCAGCCCCCGGAGCCGAGTGCACCTCAGCTCATGCCAGTGACGCTGACGGGTCCCCCGGGAGAGACCACCGCCATGCCCAGTGAGTGTCTCCCTGCCTCAGTGGAGGGCCACCTGGCACAGAGGCCCAGCGTGCCCACTCTGATGGGAAGGCTTGTGCTGCCAGTGTTGTTTTCAGGGGCCCCAGGGCTAACTGATGGTTCAGTGCACACATCTGTGCATTAGCAGCTGACTTCCGGTGCAGGACACAGTGGTGGCGCTCCCAGTCTGGTCCTCATAGTTGCCATCACCAAAGCTGACCTGGCTGCACCCAGAACTGGTGGGCAAGGAGGAGGATGTGCCCTGTGGCCCCTGTGCCAAGGCCCCCCAGGCCTGAGACCCTCTTCCCTCTGCCTCCTGCACTCACATTGTCACACGATCCTGGCCACATGCAGGCTCTGAGGACACAGGACTGCATGAGACGTGCTCGTGTGTGCAGCCAGAATGGTCTGGGAGGTGAGGGACCCACAGAGGGCAAAGCCATGGTTCCCCTACTGCATGGGAGGTGCCGATGTGGAGGTCTGTGAGTGGGGGGTGGGGGGCTGCTGAGGTGTGCTGAGGGAAGTAGTCATGTTTTAGAAGGACCAGGTGACTCAGGTAGACATATACAGACAGACAGACACACACACACACACACACAGGTGTACATGTGTTAGCAGATGAGTCCACACACAGACACACATGCACACGTTTGCAGGTGCTCCCACACTGACGTGTGTGCATGTGAATACACGCATGTCTACACATCATCACACACGGGCTTGTGCCCACATAGACGTTGCATGTGCCTTTCTGGTGAGCCCAGATGCTCTTCTGTGTGACCTTGGGGCACAGTCTAGTGGTAACAGTGGAAGGCTCAGCCACTTTTTGCTCTCCTCTTCTGTCTATCCATTCCTTGGCTTCATCTCCCTTTGGCCCCAATGACTCTGTCCTTCCAGACTGGGTGTGCCTGGAACCTGAGCTGCCTGATTGGGTTTTTTCAGGGTTAGCCAAGGGCCGGTGACTCCAGCATCCCTACTTGGAATTTGTCTCAGCAGTCCAGATGTGGTCCTCAGACCCCTAGTGAATAAGCCCAAGGAGATGTTCTCTGTGGACAGTCACGTCTCTGGATTTGCTTGTTGAGTCCCCACATTGGCCTTGGCCTTCAGAGAGCCCTCCTTTCTGAGCACCCTTTAGTTTCACATGCATGTGCACCCATGCACACCACAGAACACATGCTTATACACATGCATCACCCCCTTGGTGCTAGGGGTATATGGCTTCGTCTCTGCCCTTTACACAGTTCCTGCTCTGGTTTTGTGGTCCTCCCTGTGCATCTCCTGGCCTGCCCACTGTCCATCCTCATGCTGGTATGTGAGTGGACGTCAGCCCTCCCAGGGGGGTTTGCAATACTCTCAGAGGCCTGTCATGTACAAGAAGTGTGCAGTTCCCTAAGGTAGCATTTCTTGTGGGAAAGTATTAACTCGTTTTAAAATGAATTTTCAGTTTTATTTGTAGATATGATGCTGTGGTAGTTTCTTTTTTTTTCATTTAATCTAAATTGTTGGATTTATTGACATAAAGTTGTTCTGAATATTCCCCTACTTTCTTTGCGTATGTGTAAGACCTGTAATGATGTTACGCTCTTGTTTCTGATGTTAGTTGTTTGTATCTTTCTCTTTTCCTTTGACTAGGATGCCTAGAAGTATTTCCGTTCCACTGATCTTCTCAGTCAGCGTTTGATTTTACTGATTTTCTCTGTTGGTTTTCTGTTTTCAACTCCACTGATTTCCACTGGGATCTTTATGATTTCTTTTTATCCCCCTTTGGATATTATTTGCTCTTCTTTGTGTAATTTAAGGTGTAAACTGGGCTCTTCCTTCTCTTTTATGATAGGCATTTTGTGCTATACATTTATCCCCAGGGCCTGCTGTAGTGATGTCCCACACATCTGATGGGTTGTGTTCAAAATACTCAATGTGCCCTTTTGATTTCTTCTGTTATTTACAGATTATTAAGATGTGTTATTTTGTTTCCCAGTATCTGTGGACTTTCCAGATATCTGTTACTGACTTTTAATTAATCTCATTATAGTCAGAGAACATACTTTGTATGAGTTGGATCATTTTAAAACAATTTCCTGAAACTTGTTTTATGTCCCAGAATATACCAATACCTATCTTGGCAGAGGTCTGTGTTCACTTGAGAAGAGTATCTTTAGTACAAGCTGTTGTCAGGTGGGTGTTAAGTCACATTGGTTGGTAGTGTTATTCAGTCCTACTGTATCCTTGCTGGGTTTCTGCTTATCATCCTACCATTTATTGAGCTAAAAACTCACTGCCATCCAGTCAGTTCTGACTCATAGTCACCCTATCAGACAGAGACCTATTTACAGGGTTTCAGAAACTAAGTTTTTACAGGAGTAGACAACCTCGTAGATGGCCATCTGAGGACATACTCGACCCAATCCATGGTATTTTCAATAACGTCATATGCATGTGAAAGTTGGACAGTGAATAAGGAAGATTGTAGAAGAATTGATGTATTTGAGTATGGTGTTGGAGGAGACTATGGAAAGTGCCATGGGCTGCCTAAAGAACTAATAGATCTGTGTTGGAAGAAGTGCAGCCAGAGTGCTCCTTTGAAGTTATCTTTCATACTTTGGGACATAGTATCAGGAGGGACCAAGGATATCATGTTTGTTAAACTTGGAGGGTCAGAGAAAAAGATGAAGACCCCCAGTGAGATGGATTGGCATCATGACAGCATCAATGGGCTCAAACATAGCAACAATTGTGCAGTTGGCCCAGAATCAGGCAGTGTTTCATTCTGTTGGGCATAGGGTCTCTATGAGTCAGTACCACCTTGATGGCACGTAACAGCAACAACAACAGACAACCTCATCTTTTCCCCAAGGAGCAGCTGGTGGGTTTGAACTGCCACACTTAACTCACCATGCTAACAGGGCTTCTTACAATAATTACAGTGACTGTAGATGGGTGCATTGGACTGAGAGAGTCAGTGAAGAATGTTGGACATACTGTGGACTGCCAGAAGAGTGAACACATCAGTCTTAGAAGAAATAGAATCAGTATAACCCTTCGGCGCGATGATGACGACACTGCATCATACTTATACACACGTCATCAGAAAGGACCAATAGCTAGAAAAGGACATCTTTGATATTTGATAAAGAGAGTGTCGGTGAAAAAAAGGGAGCCCCTCAGTAAGGTGACTGATACAGTGGTATCAACCACAGGGCTAACATATCAAAGGTCATGGAGGTGTAGGGCTTGGCGACGTCTTTTTCTACACAAGGGATTTCAAAAGTTTGTGGAAAAATGCCATTATCTTTATACTTCAGTTTCCCATGGACTTTTGAAGCCCCTTATACATAAGGTTATCATATTGTTGTTGTTGTTGTTAGGTGCCATCGAGTTGGTACTGACTCATAGCGACCTTATGCACAACAGAACAAAACACTGCCTGATCCTAGGCCAACCTCACTATTGTTGCCACGCTTAAGCCCATTGATGCTGCCACTTGGCCAATCCATCTCGCTGGGGGTCTTCCTCTTTTTCTCCGACCCTCCACCTTACCAAACATGATCTCCTTCTCCAGCGACTGGTCCCTCCTGACAATATGTCCGAAGTCTGAGAGACGAAGTTTGGCCCTCCTGGCCTCCAGGGGGCGCTTGTTCTCCTTGTTATCCAAGAAGCATGGTAACAAGGTTAGCATGAGTAGAACCTATTTGATGGCAAGGAACAACCAGAGTGGAGGTGGGTCATCTCCCTAGTGCCCCATGTATCAAGTTTTCCAGTCTGGATGGTGGGAACAGGAGTTGGCCCAAGCCATGTGTGAGTACCTTGTGTGAATGCTCTTCGCTTCCATTCTTTTGGATGATTCTTCCAGTGGCCATGATTAGTTTCCTTATATGCATGTGCTTATAAGACTGCTGAATACTCAGTGTTGTCCAGGGTTCTTTCTCTGCGTAGCCCTCTTCTCTCTGGTATTCTGTCCTAGCTGGTGGCTTTCTTCTCCGCTTACTCTAAGCTCCATCTGGTCAGCACGACTTCACACCCTTTAACCGTAGCTTGGGAACTGTCTGCAGAGAGAACACTGGGTTTAATCTTAGGGCTCACTTCCTTTGTTTTCTGACTCTTCAGGAGTCAATGTTCTCTTGTCTGATATCCAGTGTCTTTATTATTGTCGCATCTTACATTTTGGTGTTTTTTGTTACTGGTAGAAGGGACAATCTGGTCTCTATTGTTATATAAAGCTTAAATTAGAAGTCTTTGCTATTGACTCTTTATGCCAGTTTGTTTCCAAGGAGATTTTGTGTAACATCTACGTTTCAAGAAATAAATGTCTGCCAAAGGTCCTGTAAAACCCCCTCTTATAAACCCTCTGTGGTGAATCAACAGTCACTGACCAACAAGGCACATATTACCAAGTATTTGTTTGTTTGTTTAAGTTTTTATTGTGAATTCAGCGATAATTTACATGGGAGAACATTAGCTTTACATTCATCCTATCATTTTTCGTTTCATTGCAATGATTACAATCCCCTCCATGCATCATGAAACAACCAAAGGGTACACCCTGCAAGCCTGCCCCCCATCCATCACCCTCTCCCTCCCAGAGTCCAGAGTCCCAAGCAACCCCATCTCTCCATGACATATCTGGTGTCACTGCCTCTCTGGATAGGGTTCCGCACTCCACTCTTCTCCCTTGATGGTCCCAGAGTCCTCCGCTCCTGGAATGCAAGAACAACCACTCCCCTCCTTTTGTTATAAAACGTCTACCTTTACATTTGCAATACTCACAGTCAGTCCTGATAGCAAGTATTCACTATTGTACCACAAGAGACTTACCCCATCTCCTTTCACTGCCCCATCCAGACAAGTTGGAAACCATTCAGTGGAGATTCTACCTTCCCCTGCACCCTCTGGAACTAGGCTCCCTCTTGAAAGCTTATAAGCCAGTCACTTCTTGCCTTTATAGCCCCCCTCCCCATCTTGGGTAGCCAATGTAAGTTGCCCATCCCTGTCTACCCTATGTACG